TTAATTGGAAGGGGACGGAATGTTCCCTATGTTGTTGCAGGGGACGACGCTTTTCCGCTACAAAAGCACATAATGAAGCCATATCCGTATCACACGAAAAACAAAAAGAAACAAATATTTAATTTACGGCTCTCTCGAGCTAGGCATGTTGTTGAGCATGCGTTTGGAATCCTAAGCAATAGATTTCGAGTTTTTTAACCACAATGAACCTAAAAGTTGACACCGTAGAAAAAGTCACATTGGCTTGTATCGCAATTCATAATTTTCTTTTACAAACCGATAATACATATATCAACACGCCCCTAGAAACTGCAAGTATTAGCAATACCCAGAAGTTTATACAGATGTACCATATAATCCACGAAAAGGCGAAGCTGAACTCATAAGGCAAGAGTTCACAGAATATTTTAACGAAGAAGGCAAATTATAAATTAAAAAGTATAATTTATAAGCTCATATTAATATGTTGTTCCTACCCTATAATACAAATATTATTTAAAAAAAAGGTCAAACTTTCGTAAAAATTTCTAGCTTTTTTAATAAGATTTTCCTTTAAAGATTCTGAGTATGCAGTTTTGTAGCCCATTAAATTTGTTTATAAAAAATTCCAACACTGAAGTATCTACAACTTATGGCTGTTTTTTGGCCCGTTTTTGTTTGGTAATGGTATTGCTTATTTTCTTCCGTATAAAAAAAAGAAAATGCGACTGTAGATGAGTCCGCCGAAAATTCGTATTTCTTTTAGTTTCTAGATGGTAAGCAATCTATGTATGAGTTTTTAATGAAATATCTTTAAATAAAGGGTTATAAAAACGTTTATAAAAGGCTTTATTTTGAAAATTTTTAGTACGTTTATATTCATACGCTTATAAACAAATTTTTTTTAACCTTTCTTATAAGTTTACACTTTTCTTCTTCTTCTTCTTTTTTGGCGCTGTAACCGCCTAAGCGATTTTGGCCGAGTTCAGCAAAGCACGCCAGTCGTTTCTCCTCTGTGCCAACTGACGCCAATTGGAAACGCCAAGTGAAGCCAAGTCCTTCTCCACCTGATCTTTCCATCGCAGTGGGGGTCTCCCTCTTCCTCTGCTACCACCAGCGGGTTCCGAGTTGAATACTTTCAGAGCTGGAGCGTCGGTGTCCATTCGAACAACATGACCAAGCCAGCGGAGCCGCTGTATTTTAATTCGCTGCACTATGTCCATATCGTTGTAAAGCTCATACAGCTCATCGTTCCATCGTCTGCGGTACTCGCCGTCGCCAACGCGTAAAGGACCGTAAATCTTCCGCAAAATCTTTCTCTCAAACACCCCAAGAGCCGCCTCATCGGATGTTGTCATTGTCCATGCTTCTGCGCCATATACCAGTACGGGCATGATGAGTGACTTATAGAGCGTGGTTTTCGTACGTCGAGAGAGGACTTTACTCCTGAATTGCCTACTCAGTCCAAAGTAGCACTTGTTGGCAAGAGTGATTCTACGTTGGATTTCAATGCTGACATTATTATCGGTGTTAATGCTGGTTCCCAAGTAAACGAAATTCTCTACTTTCTCGAAATTGTAACTGTCAACAGTGACGTGGGTGCCAAGGCGCGAATGTGCTGACTGTTTGTTTGATGACAGGAGATACTTCGTCTTGTCCTCGTTTACCACCAGACCCATGCGCTTTGCTTCCCTATCCAACTTGGAAAAGGCAGAACAGACTTCGCGGTTTTTGTTACCGATGATGTCGATGTCATCGGCATAAGCCAGCAATTGCACGCTCTTGTAGTAAATTGTTCCTGAGCGGTTCAGTTCTGCAGCTCTTATTATCTTCTCCAACATCAGATTAAAGAAGTCACATAAAAGGGAGTCGCCCTGTCTGAAACCCCGTTTTGTGGCGAACGGCTCGGAGAGGTCTTTTCCAATTCTGACGGAGCTGGTGGTATTGCTCAACGTCATTTTACACAGCCGTATGAGTTTTGAGGGGATGCCAAATTCAGACATAGCGGCGTATAGGCAACTCCTTTTAGTGCTGTCAAAAGCGGCTTTAAAGTCGACAAATAGGTGGTGAGTGTCGATCCTTTTCTCGCGGGTCTTTTCCAAGATTTGGCGTATTGTGAATACCTGGTCTATGGTGGATTTGCCAGGTCTAAAGCCACACTGATAAGGCCCAATCAGTTCATTGACGGTGGGCTTCAGTCTTTCACACAATACGCTCGATAAGACCTTGTAACCTATGCTTAGAAGGCTGATCCCGCGGTAGTTGGCGCGAATGGCGGGGTCACCTTTCTTGTGGATTGGGCAGAGCACACTTAAATTCCAGTCGTCGGGCATGCGTTCATCTGACCATATTCTGCACAAGAGTTGATGCATGCACCTTATCAACTCCTCGCCGCCGTACTTGAATAGCTCAGCTGGCAGGCTGTCAGCTCCAGCGGCTTTGTTGTTTTTCAGCCGCGTTATTGCTATACGTACCTCGTCATAGTCAGGCGGTGGAACGTCGACTCCGTCATCATCGACTGCGGGCTCGGGTTCTTCTTCTCCACAACTTTCCGTGCTGCTACCATTTAGTAGGGCGGAAAAGTGTTCCCTCCATAATTTAAGTACGCTCTGGACATCAGTTACTAGGTCGCCATTATTGTTCTTACAGGAGTGCGCCCCGGTCTTTAAACCTTCCGTAAGTCGCCTAACTCTCTGGTAAAATTTTCGGGCATTCCTCCTGTCGGCCAGCATTTCAAGCTCTTCGCACTCACGTATTTCTGCCTCTCTCTTCTTGTTGCGGCAAATACGTCTCGCTTCCCTCTTCAGATCCCTATAGCGGTCCCACAAAGCGCGCGTTGCGCCCGATCGCAGCGTGGCCCTGTAGGCGGCATCTTTTTTCTCTGTAGCTTCCTGACACTCCTCATCGTACCAGTTGTTCTTTCGGGCTCGCTGAAATCCGACTACTTCTTCGGCGGCGGTACTTAATGAGCGGTAAATGTGGTTCCACTGCTCGCATATGTCGGTTTGTTGAAGAGTGCTCTCTGAGAGCAGGTGTGAGAGTCGAGTAGCGAAAGCGCTGGCTGTCTGTTGTGATTGCAGCTTTTCGACGTTAAGCTTTCCTTGCATATTTGGGCGCACATTTTTTGCTGCACAGAGGCGGGTGCGTATCTTGGCTGCAACAAGATAGTGGTCCGAGTCGATGTTTGGGCCTCGGAGTGTGCGTACGTCTAAAACACTGGAAGCGTGCCTTCCGTCTATCACAACATGATCGATTTGGTTTCTCGTTTTTCGATCCGGAGACAGCCAGGTAGCTTGATGGATCTTTTTATGCTTGAACCTAGTACTGCATACTACCATGTTTCGGGCCCCGGCGAAGTCGATCAGCCTCAATCCGTTGTCGGACGTTTCGTCGTGGAGGCTGAATTTTCCGACGGTGGTTCCAAAGATCCCTTCTTTGCCCACCCTGGTATTGAAGTCGCCAAGCACGATTTTGATATCATGACGGGGGCAGCGCTCGTACGTGCGCTCCAAGCGCTCATAGAAGAGATCCTTGGATGCCTCATCCTTCTCTTCCGTCGGAGCATGGGCGCAGATGAGCGAGATGTTGAAGAATCTCGCTTTGATGCGGATTGTGGCTAGACGCTCGTCCACCGGGGTGAACGACAGTACTCGGCGACGGAGTCTCTCTCCCACCACAAATCCAACTCCGAATTTGCGCTCCTTTACATGGCAGCTGTAGTAGACGTCGCAAGGCCCCAGACATTGTTTGCCTTGCCCCGTCCAACGCATTTCTTGGATGGCGGTGATGTCAGCTTTTGTCCTTACGAGGACATCAACCAGCCGGGCAGAGGCACCTTCCCCATTAAGGGTCCGGACATTCCAGGTGCATGCCCTCAAATCGTAGTCCTTTAAACATTTGCCGTGGTCGTCATCATAAGGGGGGGTCTCATCCGAGGCTTTGCCTTGCTTCTTCACTGGAAGTGGTTTTTACGTGGCGGGTCCCAAGCCCAGCGCACAACCCATTGCTGGGACGGGGGTGGTTTCGCAACCAAATACACGTTTATATAGCGAGCCGCTTGCTCCAAGCAGACACCCGCTTGCAGCCGCACCTACTGGTGAACAGACGCTGCAGACTTCAGTGAGCCCTTAAACCGAATAAGTCAGAGTGGCCCCACCGAAGCTCCCTCTCTTTCTGCCGTGACCCAAGGCTCCACTCGGATTGGTTACCGCATCTCGCACATGGGTTGCTCACGTTGCCCAGAGTGCGCGAACGAGGACGCAAGAGTCGGGATTGAGTATAGCCATGCAACTGTAACTGCATACCCAGCGCAATGACTATACCCCATTGCACTCCACTTTACACTTTTACGCTTATTAAAAGCTTTCTTTTCAGCATATATTGTAAGTTTATATTTCTACGCTTATAACCAAGGCTCCTTTTCGATTATATTACGCTTACTTTCAAGCGTTTTATAAACAAAAAATCAACGTTTTGTAAGCTTAATGTTTATAATACAAAACTTTAATAAGACTTTCTTTAAGTTTAATTTGCTTGTTGGGTAGAAACAATTACATAACATAAACACAAACAAAAAATTTAAAATTCAGTTCATTTTATAACTTAAAAAAAAGGTTACTTAGTCATTGTACTTTGTACTTTATCAGATTTTAAAACTTTAAAGCCACATTTAAAAATGTCTAAGAGCCACCGCACACCACAGACTTTATCAGCCGCCGATTTAGTTGGGCTCGCTTCAAATAAATGAAGATGTATGGAAGTGCGAACGCTACACCAACTTAATCGCGCCCGACTAAGTAGTTGTGCTGCAATGGAAACACTAGCGAGCCCAACTAAATCGGCGGTCTGTGGTGTGCGGTGGCTCTTAAATGATTTTGTCGGTGGATGGCGATTTTTTTAAATATCAAAATCTTCATCGCTGAAAATACCCCGCATTGATTCCTCTAAAATATCCCGTGAAGGAATCAGAGACGGTGGTGATTCAGTGGAATATGATGGCGCAGTTCTTTTTATTATGGTTTCCTGCCAGTATTTATTAATAACACCTTGAACCTCCATAACTGCTTGCGGCTGATACTCCTCATCCACCTCTTCCATCTGCTCAGTCACTTGCCGACCCAACCACTCAAATTTATTTTTATTTGCTTTTCTGTCAGCTATCATTTCGGCTTTTTTGGTACCTTTTCTGTGCTTAAGGGACTGGAAGCGTCATCAGAACCTTCTTCGACCTGAAACATATACAACAAATATGCATACATTGAAATAAATGTCATAAGCATGTTTATATCGCATAAAATATACTTACATTAGTAACACTTTGACGGAATTGCACATGATTGTGTAAAAATTTTAGTTGATCAAAGCACCAAAGCTTCGGACAGTGGACATCATCAACACCAGCGCCACTTTTTTTGGAATTCTTCACCGACCGACATTCTTGCAAATATTGCGTTCGCAAACTTTTCCATTTTTTCTTAAGGTAGTCTACCGTTATGCACCCATCAATTTCTTGCATCTTCGCTAGAATATCATGGAGCGCCATTGCTTTTTTCTGGCGGTCTAAATAGTCCTTGGAGCTCACGGAGTAAAGACATTCATGCTCCTGGTACAAATATATAAATTTCTTAATACTTTCCCTGGTCCACTTATATGCCATTGTCTAAGAAATACAAATAATACAATTTCGCCAAACTCATATTCAATTTTCAGCGTGGGACTTACTAGAAAATATTTGCAAATCAATTTATGACGCGTGTGAAATAGAAAACACAAAAGAGAATGCGAAAAAAATTGCTTTCAAGACTTGACGTGTCTGAAAGGGGACTTAAATTGCCAATATTGGCTATTTATGTAAATATGAGATATGCAACCCTGGGCATGAATCACATAACTTTGAAACGATTGTCGTTCAAACGATACTGACAAAACGATGCCGTCAAAACACTGATTCATGCATTTGTTTTGCTGTTACGTGCTACTGTTACTGTTACGTGAAACAAAACTGGAATTGAGTGGGCAATATGGCACAAACAATCCAACAATTTTTGGTTTTCATGAAACAAGACAATGTCAGCACGATATCGTCCAGACGATTGTCGTCATACATGATTCATGCCGTGTTGTACCAAACAACCAAGATTGATTGGTAGGTTGTTTTATCAATCCCACCAAATCCCACGAAAAACAGTCAGCTATTCAGCACAAAATGTATACAAACAAGGAAATGCAATAACAATTTCAAGGAACAAGCAGCATTGCTGCCAATTGTTTGGCATAATTGAACAAAAGTTTCGTTCCTCAACTTTTCTGGACAAAACCTGTAAAACTGTCAAAAAGCAAAACTGCTCTCTGAGAAAGAGAGAAAAACCAAAAAGTACGGGAATGCTTTTCGAGTAAAAACTGGTAAAACTGTCAAATACACCGTGGGCGTCATTTTTTGCTTACATGGCAGTTTTTTATCATTTGGCAATCTGCTAAATTATAAACAAATACACAGGAAAATTAACAAAAAATACCTTCAGAACTTGAAATTTCCTCGCTACGATATATTTAATAAGATGTAAATGCAGATGTACGTTTGTTTTTGCTTATTCATCATTCCAATCGTTTGATCAGCTGGTGGTTTGACACTTTACCAGATTTTACCAGCAGAAACTCTTCGGGCAAAATCTTGCAACTTCTGTCACAGAGAGGGCCGAGAACCGAGTACGGGAACGCTTTCCGGCAAAATTCTGTAAATTCCTGCAACTTCTTGCGAGTTAGGGAATGCAACTAAAGTTGATCTGAAACCCAAGAAAGCTAAGGCTCAATTTCAGATGGCCTACTTAAATAGAGATTGTTGTTTAACTTCCACTATTCATTTTCAGATCATACATTCAATCTGCACTTAAATGGCCAATATTGGCTATTTATATATGAGATATGCAACCCTGTGTTTGTACCAAACAACCAAGATTGATTGGTAGGTTGTTTAATCAATCCCACCAAATCCCACCAAAAAACAATCAGCTGTTCAATACGAATTGTAAACAAACAAGCAAATGCAACCACAACTTTAAGGAACAAGCAGCAGTGCTACCAATTGTTTGATATATTTAATGGGGCTTTCACACAAGGCAACTTTTGCGTTCAACTCACGCAGGGTTGGATGAAAAAAAATTGAATGGCTGAAAATATACAAATATAAAAACCATATAAAAATATTCGCCATAAAAAGGCGTTTGCATTGTTCAACTTTGCATTCTACTTTTGATTGAACGACCTTTCAACTAATCGCTTTTAACAAGGTTGGTCGCCAGTCAACATTTGGCTATTCAACTTTTTTTTCGTGCAACCCTGCGTGAGTTGAAAGCAAAACTTGAACGCAAAATTGCCTCGTGCGAACGTCTTTTAATCTGAAACCCAACGAAAGTTAAATGCCATTTAAACAACAATCCACAATTGAACGTAAGTGCCATTTAAATATTCAGTTGAAATTAGCCCTAAAAGGCATTTAAACAACAATCTACAATTAAACTTAAGTGTTGTTAAAATATTAATTTTAAATTAGCCCTAAGGGCCATTTTCTGAAGTAATCTTTAACTTCAAAGCACACTTTATATATAAAGGCTGAATTAAAAATAAAGCTATATCTAAAGCATTTCTGCTTTCGCTTTCGGTTTTTGACGTATGTATGTTTCTTGGTTGTAAACGAATTTAAAACTGCTAATAAAATGCTTTACTTTAGACACAATCAGGAATTTTTACGCAACTAATTATAAAGTGAGCTTTAAAGTTATAGGTAACTTGAGAAAACGGCCCGAAATCAGAAAGTGATTTGACGTATGCAGACAATAGGGGTCTTCCCTTAAACTCGTAAACCTTGTAAAGCTCGTAAATTTACGAGTCTCGTAAAAGAATTGTCTAAATTTGTATGGAACTCTATTTATGAGACCCTCGTAAATTTACGAAGCAAATTTGATGCGCAAACGACCTCGCAAACTTCAGTGTTGTCGAGGGGCCGAAATTTTATATTTAGTCGGTTCCAATAGCAGTCCGATTTACAGGATTTAGTCTGAACTTACAGGAAGTCGTTCCTATTGACATAAAACCTGTAAGTGGGAACACATTTCAGAGAGTAACTGAGCAACTGTTCCTAGTCAGAAGTTACAGGATTTAGTCCGGAGTTTCTTTTCCTGTAAGTTCATGAAAAGTGTCAAACGATCAGCTGATTTGCAGGTGCAAGCAAAAACTAACAGCGGTGAAAGCAAAGTACCTTATATTTGTAAAAAAAATGCAAGTAAACAACGAAATGTTTGAATATGTATAGATTTTTGCGTTCCTATGCACTTCTGCATCTGCTCTCCTTTTACTCTCATTTTAGAGAGTAAAATTGTAGTTTAACAATCCCACAGGTTTTAGTCCGAAGTTCAAAGGAACAGACTAATTAGTGGTATTCATCTAAACCGATAACTTTATCAAGCAGATATTCTTATAAATTTAAGCACTCTGTTACATGAACGCCCCATACTCTCCTTTTGTTTACACTTGCCACAATAGTCGTGTCTTCTTTGGGTATCGAGCTCAGTATCAGTAATTTTATACTACTAGCACGAGGATTAAGAAAATTTGGAAATGACCCCACTAAATGGGGAAAAATGTTTATTTAGACGAGATAATATTCATTTAAATAAATATTTAACATAAAGGCGATTTATTTGAAGCAAGTTAAAAGAAACAATGGCAGAATGTCTGTTTGTGTATGAATTCATTTATCACTGCTACCAAACCATGCGGCCAAATTATCATTGAATAAAACAAAACGGAATGGATAATAAATTGAACAAGATCTCTATCAGGATGATATCGTTGCTGTTGAATTTGCGTGCAAAATTTTTATGCGGATCCCGATTATTGTCCAGAAACACAGCTGGAGTTGCGACAGAGTTGCATTGGCTTCAGTTTGTCAAGTTTATTCAGTGAAGTCGCTGGAGAAATCTATAAGAAATGTGTAAACGAGTTTCTATACAAATGACAGTTAATTTATAAGGTGTACACAGTTATAGGTTTATACGGTTTATAATGCATTCATAAGGTTTAATGAATACCATTATTAAAATGTATGATATAATAACGAAAATAAACGAAGAAAATAATACGCGAATAAAATGAATGAATTTCATCCACTAGCTGTATTGACTTAGATTTTCTGCTAATTTTAGGGGATTTTTATTGTATTTTAGCCAAGAGTGATAGAGACAAGAAGGCGGGATGTTATGGGAAATACTACGAAACAAAAATTGCTTCACAAAATCCTGGTTGATCTGTCAAACAGTCACCTTACTTGCTGTCTCCTTAGGCAAAAGTTTTTATCTTGATTATGTTGTCAGGCAAAAATTTGCCAATGGAGATCGCATATTGCTCTTGGCAAGCAATAATTATCAGAGCTTTTATCTTGATAAATATTGCCAGCAATTTGTTAGTTTGACAGCTACATTTTCATTTACGCGATAACTTCGTGGCGGCAACATTATTTATATCTTCTATATATATAAAATAATAGGCGTTTTCTTTGTTCAGAGTTAACACAAAAACTACTGCATAGATTTAAGTCAAATATTCAGAGGCTATACCTTGCACATAAGGTCCTTTTATAGGCTACCGAAAAGCTCGGTAGGTGGCGCTGGGGTCGAGTTATTTATAAAAATCGTATTTATAAACCGATTTCTTTTAAATTCAAAATGTAAGCTACCAGCATGAAGGCAAACACGTTTCCCAAAAATATACCCGAAAGGTGGCGCGGAAGTCGAGATATTTATAAAAGTCGTATTCATAAACCGATTTTTTTCAAATTCAAAAGGTATAGTTTCAGCATAATGGAAAATACGTCTACCAAAGATCGGAGCCGCTAGGTGGCGCGGGAGGCGAGTAATTTATAAAAGTTTTATTTATGAACCGATTTCGTAAGCATGATGAAAAAAGCACTTGCGAAAAACGGACCCGCTAGATGGTGCTGGAGTTGAGTTAAAAAACCACTCAATAGAGCCCAGTCAAATTGTCGGAGGTTATACCTTGCATATATGGTCTTATTATAGGCTACCAGAAAACACGCTGGTGGCGCTGGAGTAGAGTTGCTTATAAAAATCGTATTTATTAACAGATTTCGTTCAAATTCGCAGCTATATTCCTAAGTTCCTAAAATTCCTTTGCTAAAAATGGACCGTTGGAGTTTAGGTATTTAGAATTTTTTTTATAAAATCTGATTGGAATTCATAATTCGTATGAATTTCATGACAAGCAAAGGTTTTGCACAAAAGGGACCCAATGGATGACGCTGCACCTGAAATATATAGAAACCCCCCGGGGTTTGTTCTGCTTTGGCTGTTCAGATGGCTAAATCAAGGATGCGTTTAAGTATGCATATAAAGACCGTAAGACTGCGTAAGCGTGATCTTGCATCTACCTCCGATTGACGAAGTTGCGGCCGTTATTACAGCAGTAAGACTCAAAGAAACAAATTCATAAATATTAAGACGAATTGTAAAAGTGGCGAATTGACAAAGAAAGATTCGACCACATCTGTCCAAGAAGGAAAACGATAGGTATATCAATGGGCGCGTTCATAAGTCGTTGCTG